AAAAAGAGGCTAAAAAAAAAAAAAGAGATAGAGTTCTCTTGGTAGACAAAGAAGATTGACAAGGCCAAGGTGGGGATCTCCAAACACATCCACTGACTCCAGAAAGCCGACACCCTCGTCCCTTGCCAGTCAGCCTGGAATACACCCCTGCTTCCTGTGAGGAAGCCTGGCACCTCGGACTTCAGACCAGTACAGGATTTGTGGGAAATAAACAGCCGGGTAGAGACCATTCACCCAACAGTGCCAAACCCCTATACTCTGTTGAGTCTCATCCCTCCCAGTCATGTGTGGTACTCAGTATTAGACCTTAAAGACACATTTTTCAGCCTGCCTCTAGCTCCTGTGAGCCAGCCCCTCTTTGCCTTTGAATGGACTGACCTAAAGACCGGACCCACTGGACAGCTGACATGGACCCGGCTGCTGCAGGGGTTCAAAAACTCCCCCACTCTGTTCGGGGAAGCTCTCAACAAAGATCTGCAAGAGGTAAGAAAAATGTTTCCCCAGGCGACTATTCTTCAGTATGTTGATGACCTCCTGGTGGCGACTTCAAACGATAAGGAATGCATTGCAGCCACCGAGGGCCTCCTGAAAGCCCTCCAGGAACTGGGATATTGGATGTCCTGGAAGAAAGCTCAACTCTGCCAGACCAAGGTAACCTACTTGGGCTATATTCTTGAAAAGGAAAAGAGGATGCTGGCAGAATCGAGAGTATCTGCAATTCTCCAGATTCCGAAGCCAGGCTCAAAGAAACAGGTGCGAGAGTTCCTAGGGGCAGTTGGCTATTGCAGGATTTGGATTCCTGGCTTTGCTGAGATTGCCCAAACCCCTGCATGAGGCCACTGCAGGAGGAAATACACCCCTCAAATGGACTGAGGCTCGCCAGCAGGCATTTCAATTGCTTAAGACTACACTTGCATTGGCACCAGCCCTGGCATTGCCAGACTTAAACAAGCCCTTTACCCTGTATGTGGCAGAGAAAAATGGGGTAACTAAGGGAGTGATTACTCAGCTTTTGGGCCATGGAAACGGCCTATGACATACCTCTCAAAGAAGCTCAACCCAGTGGCCTGAGGGTGGCCTACTTGTTTGAGGACAATAACAGCAGCAGCTGCTTTAACCCGATAGGCTGACAAATTGACCTTTGGACAAGATTTGACTTTAAAAAATAAGACTGAGATATTGACATTGCTACAAACAATCTGGTTGCCTGGAGAGGTCGCCATCATCCATTGCCGCAGGCACCAGAAGGAGCTTAGCCCCAAGATAATTGGTAATAATGCTACTGACCAGGCAGCAAAACAAGCTGCCCAAAAATCAGTGGAGAAGCAAATGGTTCTGTTTCCCACACAGGTACTCCCAGAAAAACCTGAATACACAGATAAAAAAGTAGCGAAAATGAACAGAAGATGCTGGACTTGAAAAAAACATGGATGGTGGATGACTAAGGATAAAAAGGTGGTGCTCCCAGCCACTGTAGCAGACACATTGCTGCGAGAACTACCTGAGTCCACCCACCTCGGCAAAAAAAAAAGGATGATGGCTGCCCTGCAACCTTATTTTGTCAGCCAGAGATTAGCCCAAAAGGCCCAGGACACGGTGAGACGATGCCCCACCTGCCTCAAGGTAAATGCTAATCGGGTAACCGGGCCCCCTGGGGTCCGACACAGAGGGCTAACTCCAGGAAAACATTGGGAATTAGACTTTACTGAAATAAAGCCAGACATGTATGGGTACAAATACCTGCTAGTTTTTGTAGATACATTTTCAGGATGGGTAAAAACATACCCCACTAAAAAGGAGACAACAAAAGTAACAGTTAAAAGACTCCTGACAAAAATAGTTTTCCGTTTTGGTTTGCCCTTAGCTCTGGGGTCTGACAATGGTCCAGCCTTTATGGCTAAGATATCTAAGTTAATTAGTAATATCCTTGAAATAAAATAAAATCTACACTGTTCCTATAGGCCTCAAAGTTCAGGACAGATAAAAAGAACAAATCGAACTTTAAAAAAATTCTGACTAAATTATGCTTGGAGACTGAACTAGATTGGGTAGAGCTTCTCCCCTTTACCCTCCTCCGGATGAGGTGCACTCCCAAGCCCCCCCTCAAGCTGTCCCCCTTCCAGATTGTTTATGGATGATCTCCCCCAATCATTCCATTAATAGATGTAGAATTAAAGGAAAAATTTTCCCACCTTCGACTCCTTAAATCCTTAAAGACAGTTCATCAGCTTCAGTCAGAGCTACATGAGACACTACAAAAAAAAAAATGACTAGTCCAAATGAAAACCCTTTACAACCTTTACCCTATAAGCCAGGAGATTTGGTTTTTATTTGCAGGTTTGATTCCAAGACCCTGAAACCTCCTTAGAAGGGACCGGTTCCTATTGTCCTGTCAACTCCCTTGATGGTAAAGGTGGCTGGACATTCTGCCTGGATACATCACAACCATCTAAAAGCAGGACCCCTCACAGACATCAAGAAAGACAAATGGAAGGTTATCAGCCAACCAGGTGACCAAAAGCTAAGACTGGAACGGGTTGAAGATGTTTCACCTTAATGATGATATTCTCTGGGACACTGACATTATTGCCCCCAAGAGGACTAGGTCACACAAAAAATGTATAGATTCAATTGGCAAACTCGCTTAACTTGTCTAAATTCTGCTTAAATGCTGATGTAAATTTCCATCATGTGCTAAGAAGCTGTCTCCTTCCGGTATGCACCTCTTTAGAGTTAATATGACCCTATACCCTATTTTAAGACATCCCAGGGAAAAATCTTACTTACACAGATAGTTATAATTGGGGACATGACACCTGCTGTAAACCTAAAAATGCAGTCAAATTATATACAGCCAAGGTAATTATGTCAAACAAAACTGAATGTGCTATGTATGAAAATTGTACAACCAAGTGTCTGAGGATAAAACAGTCAAAAGGGATGTCCTGCCACATAAAACCAAAAATTGTGTATAATAATTGCCATATCTCCCTGCCCATAGGATGATTTTATACCTGTGAAGAAATAACCTTTAATTATATTCCAGCAAATTTAACCAAGAACTGTTGCTGTTTGAGTCATCTAGCTGTAGTGTTGCCAGACAGGACTGATTTGGTTGTGCCTAACAGAACTAAACGTTGGTCACCTTACACTACACCGGGATGTGATGATGATATAGGTCTGTTAACAGATGCAGAAGTAATAACCATGATAGCATCTTTTGTTGCCCTACATTCTATAGGAGTCCATGCTAAAAATGCAGTGTGAAAATTAGCTTGCAAGGTGGTCAAAGGGTTAAATGCTACCTCATCAGCCTTGGCATTAGTTAACCAAGAGTTACAAGAACAGAGACAGACAATCTTAGATAATAGAGCAGCAATAGACTATTTGTTGCTCCTCCACCACTAAGGTTGTGAAAGAGTAAAAAATATGTGTTGTTTCAATCTTACCAATAATGGTCCAAAGATAGAAGAAAAGGTAAAACAATTAAAAGATCTGGTTGAAAAAATATATAATGAGGATGGCGGGGACTTGTTCAAATGGTTAACTTCGTGGTTGCCCAACCTACAATGGTTAAAACAACTTTTGCTTGTCATCATAGTTGTGTGTACATGCTTATTATTGTCATGTTGTTGTATACAATAGATACCTACATTTGTGCGTAAGATTACTTAAGTTCCAAAAAAATCAGTGGGGAATGTGGGACTGCATAACCTTTGCCCCTTTTTCTCCAGCCCCATTGGGATTAAAATGTAAGTTAATAGATAGAGATGCTTGTTAGTCTAAGGACTCT